GTGTATTATGTGTGTATGTGTGTATGTGTGGGTGTGTATGTGTGTGTGGGTGTTTGTGTGTGTGTGTGTTTGTGTGTGTGTGTTTGTGTGTGTGTGTTTGTGTGTGTGTGTGTTTGTGTGCGCGTGCGTGTGTGGTATGAGTTGACCATTTCTTGATTTGACGACAGGTTTTGTTTAAGCCTGTCCTCGGATACGGTGCCCTTAAAGGAATGAAGATTCACAATGGTTTACCGTGAGAAGATTTTTAATTGGAAAGCACAACAGCAGCATGCAGTAGCAGCAACGGTAAAAGCAACAACAACAAAAAACAACATCAACAACAACAACAACAACAACAACGACGACAACAATATGAAAACGGTTTCTAAATATTGCAGGAACATGTTTCTAAAAGAGTAAAGACCCTACTAAACACTCATTCCACGCCCCCCCCCCCCTAAAAAATTTTAAAAATGACTTATGAAGTTCATTTTGGAAACAGGCTTCGACCCCGTCTGTCAGTACCGACCCGTCCAAGAAAAATGTAACGTCCGCCGTTGAAAGATTCGATTTAAAAAAATCCCTAAACAGGAATCGAACTCGGGTCTTCTGCGTGTTACGACAGAGCGCCCAATCACCACGCCGAATACTACGGGTAACATGTTTTCTACTCCTGCAAAAGAAGTTATCTTTTCAAATCAGCAACCCTCAATCGAATGGCATTACGTTAAAGGTGTAATTAGCATGATAAATCAAATGTAGCCTATCTGTTTAAAACACTGAGCCATCACCAACGTCCGTGGTGTTGCTACTGCTACTCCTTGGCTCCTTCTTAGTACTGTCTTTCAGCCACACGCCTGATCTTCTGGTAAGAAAGATCTACACCTAGCCTTCTCAGACAAGGGCAAAAATTCACGGAGGTCCCGTGTGCAAGTTGTGCACGTTAAAGATCCTTTAGTGGTCTAAACTCGATAAGGGTAGACATCGGCTGCCACCGGTGCAAAATTCAAAATGTCCTACCAACTGAAAATGTTTAATGTTCCCGCGCGCTCATATGACCTTATGCAGTTGCGAGCGTCGTAAAACACTTACCCCCCCAATGGTGAAGTTATTCGTCTTGGCTTGTAGAAGACAAGGGTTCGATTCCCCAGTGATGACGATTTTAGCGAGTATCTTCATCTGTCTGACAGGACGGCTCAAAACTGCCCGCCTTCTAAATGGTCGCTTTTAAGGACAAGCGGGCTAACCCAGAGTTCAAGTGTTTCCAGAAATCTTGACCTACACCAAAAGTGAGCATTTCCCTACGTATAGGAGAAGTTTGGTTTTTTATTTGTGTGTATATGTGTTCGGTTAAGAGAAAATTCTCCTATCTTTTAAAGAAACTGAACAAGGGGCAAAAACTTTACCTTCGATTTTCTCAAAACAGCATTTTTTGGGATAGCCCCCATGTGCTTAAAAGAGACCATATGATCTACTTTGAGTCGGTGGAGACGTGAATAATACAACTAATATAATTAGGAAACAATCCCCGAACGGATGCCATCAGATAGAATTAATGTTATCATTATAATTAATATATAGGTCATCTGGTACAAGTGTCTTTTTTAATGTGCGACTAATCCGAGACCTTCTCTCGCCTTACGGCAACAGGTCAGGTACAGTATAGTTAGTTAGTTAGTTAGTGTGTGTGTGTGTGTGTGTGTGTGTGTGTGTGTGTGTGTGTGTATGTGTGTGAGAGGTTGTTGTGATCTATGGCTGATGGAAGGAAGCGATAGCGTTTTTTTTATGGCCAAAGGTTTGGGTAATCTTACAACACAACTGGGAGTAGGTGTGGGAAATCGTGATATTAGGGCGTTTTATAAGGGGTGGGGG